TCCCGCTGCTTTGCCACTCTTAATTTGTCTAATGGCCATGCTGATCTCTTCAATTGTTGGTGGGCCAACATCGATTGGGAGGTCCGTGGGTGCTGCTTCGATGTTGGGTGGGTTCAGTGGAGCTGGTCGATTCAAGAGTTCTTTGAAGTGTTCTACCCACCTGTTTCGTTGTTCTTCAATGTCAGTGATCGGCCTCATGACTTCCGAAGGAACTCGGCTTTCATCATGAGACGTCATAATTATTCCTTCCACTCCCAGGGCAGAGTTTGAAAGGTTCGAATGATTTTTTTTGGTTAGCGTTTTTTTAGCGAGTTGATTTTCTACGGGATGGGGTCGCTAACCCCATGCCCAACCCTCCTCCTTTACCCGGGCTTGGGACCGGCAGTAACCCCCAGAGGAGCTACAGGCGGAGTTGCTTTTAGTCGTACCTCTCTTCAACTGACCTGTCTGGCATGGTAGGACCTTGAGGAACAATTGTTCCAGCCAGTATAGCTTGATTGGTTTATCACGATAGGGGAGCCCGACCACCACGTCAAGGTAGCAGCAACGGTCGGGTGGCACGCTGACTGGCTACTTCTTATCCAGTTAGCACTAGTAGATGCTAAGGGAACACCCTGTAACCTCGTGTAAAAACAATGGAAAAACTATCGTTTCTCATATTGTGATTCCTACTTCTATCTACCCATGTTATATGGAATATAATTTGACCTTATCAACCATGATTTGCGGACTTGTCGAGTGAAGTAGTATCCATCAATACGATGCAATAACAGTAGCTGGGCAGTGATAATATATATTGTAACGCGGACTACACGGATTCGTACGAGCTCTCTAACATGGCACAGTAAAGAGGTTCACAACCTTCTCCGTAGGAGAGAAAGAATTAGAGATTAAGGTCATTAGGTGCTAACGAGAGTTTATACAATACCCTGAACGCTTATACTCGAACATAAATCAAAGGAAGAGAAAATAAAATATCCCAGCATCCTAGGGAGACAGTAGTACTGCACCATTAGCGGAGGGCGATTATAGTAAAACTCAGGTACTCTCAAGTTACTTAGCAACGTAAATAGCGTGGAGGTGCCCTTCGCATCGAGTCATACAAACCCTCAAACACGCACTGGACGATTTGACTACTGAAGAAATTGATGCATTTGGTCTGAAAAATGAGCAAATCCATGGAACCCGATGAAATGCATCATAGGTCACTAAAGGAATTAGCCAATTTTGATGCGAATATCTTAAGGATACTTTTTAAGCTATCTGTAACTCTGGATTAATTATCAAAACACTGGAAGAATGCTATCTTATCTTGAAAACGGGTTAGAGACATTAACATGAGAACTATCGATAGTTAAAATTTTAGAAAAGATTATGGTAGGATTAAACTATACTGCCGACCTTTGAACGAATCTTAAATGACCTTGAGAAGTATTAGCCAATCAGAAGACAGTTAGTATACAGCAAAATATATTATACAAAACCAAAGGATTAAAGTGGAAACACTTCTTTTACATGGGTCAAAAACTTCTCAAGGTCAGATATAGGTTCACAAGTCATAAAATCATATTGCATACGGTACAGGAACACATCCATATGGCTCTATAGTAGTCGACCTCTGAAACCATGATAAGGTCTCAAAAATTCTTTTAGCCTCGACCACATAGCTTCAATAATGTTAGTATATTGGTATGGTTTACGGGTTAGGGTTTAGATGTAGGGTTTAGGGTGAGACTATGTTATGGACAACCTTTGAGCGACGCTAGAGTAACTCTGAGAGTGTCAACATAATAACTAAAACCAAATGAGGGTCATTAACCTGTGTGAAGAATTCAACTTCTGATTTACAGTTCATGATTAAGGCTAGGAATTATACTTAAGGTTTTCATCACGAACTGACATCAGTTATAATGCCAAAACTCTTTATCCAAATGGATAATTGAATTTCGCGCCAAAATCTTATGATCGCTTCTATTGTAGACGCTAAATTATCACGTCTTCCCTAAAATCCGCTGTAAACCGACCGTTAGTAAGCATCAGGTACCGATCTTAGCGCCGTGACCTTGAAAACCCGCGAAAGCTTCTGATTGGATCGGCAGTATAGTTTAATCCTACCTAATATAGGGTTCGGGATGTAATGTATTAGTGTGGACAAAGGACTCCCTAGTTGTGGTCAACAAAGAGTACAAGTGAACTCAAAGTTATCTAGCTGGGAAACTGTGCTTAGTGGAGTGCTTTAGGGTACGACGCTGTTCTTCCTGTTTGTACATGACCTTCTTAGTCTCCTATCATCGGTCTTGTCATATACTAACGATGTCAAGATATAGAGAGCGATAAAAATGGTGATAGTTTGGAGTTTCAAAATGACATTGGGAAATTATCTGACTAGTCTAAAATTTGACTATTGACGATAAAGGTCTCCAAGTGCATTATGATACATATTGGTCACCAAGACACAGATATATACACGGTGAATAACATTGAGCAACCTGTTGTCCAGACACACAGGGACTTTGGAGTTATCGTTAGACAAGAATTAAAACCTATTGCATACTCCTATGTGATGGCCTCCAAAGGATCTAGAACAGCATGGTTAATACGTGGAGTCTTTGGCTATGTCGGTGCTAAAACCTTTTTGATTTTGCATGCAGTATTCATCTATCCTAAACTCGAGTACAGCATGCAAGTGGTTAAACCCAGTTTACGTCAACAAGTGATTAAAACACCATCTGTTAACGCTTTTAAAAGAAAGCTGGCTGAAATGTGAGACCATTCATGCCAAGAATAACACAGGCTACATAGACTCATGAACTTCAAAAACCAAAACTGATATTCCGTAACCAGTTTGACTCCCGGCTACAATAAATCTAGTGGCAAACACCTGGTCCTATCTGTCGTGAAGTAAAAAATTTCAAGTGATTGTCAATAAGCATAACAACTTGAAGAGTTCTAATCAAAAATAATAACCGGAATTTAGAAGTACACCTAAAGGTTACGAAAAATTACTTGTAAAATCTGGGGATTTCTCAGTAGATTTTTCCTGGGTTCTCGGAAATTCCGGGAAAACCTGAGACCAAGGGAGATCTTGTGACGCTTATCGTATTTTCTCTAGAATTTTTGACGAGGCTTCTCCAAAACTGAGACTTATTCACCAAGTCGTGAGATTATGCAAGTGGCTCATTACTGAGCTACACTGTTGTCCTCCTTGTTGCTTGCTTGGGTTGATAAAAGGTTGCGCATATATCTGAATTGCTCAACAGATATCGTGTTCATGGACAACATGTATCAGGATGACAATTACTCCATAATGAAACGTGCTGTTATCCAATAATTCGGCTAGTTGCAAACGCATTTATCATTTTCCTGTAGACGATTTTAGTTGTGCGTTTGACTTGGTTCAGTCATTGACCAATGTAGTTACATATAGTAACTCATGTGATGAAAACACTGGCCGTTGCACAAAGACAAACTCAAACTGTAAGTGCGTTAATTCTGCTGAGAATTAGTGAATCAAAAGCCAGATTACTTGTATGGTTCTGTCGACTTCGATGTCGCAGAATTTGAGTGTGGCCAAGTGGTATATATATATATATATATATATATATATATATATATATATATATATATATATATAGTAGAGAGAATGGTGCAATAGCGAATTAGGGAATGAACCTCTCATTAAGGTTTTTAAGAAATTAGTTTTGTACCAATATAGTATCAAAAGCACATTACCCATGATCAGTCAGAATGTTAGTAAAGAAATGTTAAGCTAACTTTACGGTGTACATAGCAAACATTTTCACTTGTGGCGAGTGTAATACCAATTTACATATTATCGACATTTAACGAAACAGACAAGTCAGTTAAAAGATGTGTATAGGAGGAGCTCTTTTGAATGTCGATAAAGACATGATTTCATGTTTATACCCGTTGCCTACAGGAGTAACCTGAGCAAATGTCATAGTCAAAATTTTTAAAAATATATGCTTTAGAGATAATCTTAACAAAGAACTAGAGTTCATGTCAGAAGTATTAGTTAAAACGGGCTTCCTGAAGAAACAGATATTAAATAAACAGGAATTCAGAAGCATGAACTGCTTGGGGAGAATTCGTATTTTTCAAAATTGCGATCTACTTCATACACTAAAATATTTACTGAGGTAATCTTTATTCATATCGTTACAAGTACACCTTGTGTACTTGACACGTTCTTATGTATTACTGTGTATATAGTATACTTCACTGACTAAGCGGGTGCCTTCATTGGTTTGGTATTCACATATGCATATCAGTTTGATGTATAGTGCTCTATATTTCTAAAGTAAATAGTGATGAAATCTAGACGACGTGCATATTCCGTTGTTGTAAATCTCATTACAAAACTACTAAAATCTAAGTCAATTTTAGTCGATCAGGTCAGATGTTAGCACTGATGGTCAGAGAGAATTGCTCTATTCTAATTTTCAGTCCCTCTAGAGCTTTAGTGTACACTGGCGCTTAGTACATATAGAGATTATTAAAGCAGAGTAGTAGCTCAAAATATTTATCTAACTCACAACATTATCATTAGTTTTTATTAGGACCTAATGGATTGTTTTAAATTTCAAGTAGACTTTTTGTAAACTATTACGCTTCACCCAGTTCATTTGTAGCCCCCATATGCCCTGCTACGGCCGAGAGTGGGGAAAGTCCGCTCTCCCTATCCGAATGCTCTCACATGGCCACGCGTATATAGCCACTGTCAGGGAAGTCCTACTCACTGCCTTCTCGTGGCATTACTGTTGATTACGAAACTGAGAAGACGAAAAGCGAATGTCCGGCGATTTGAACGGGTTGGTGGACACGGCGAGTCCACCTAGGGGAGTTGGAAAACCCTAATTCCAAACCAATGGTGCACATGGGCTCCAGTATCCTGAGGGAACTAATGGCGTATGAATCAATCGTTGATCACCGGCTACCATGGTACTGCATCTCCTCACGATGCTCTACTGCCTTGTGGATCAGACTTTTAGGTTAAAGGCTCCGTGTGTGGCCCTCTAAGAAAACCATCTGCTTCAGTTTAGGCACCTGGGCAATATCATAGCCTTCACACAAATCGAATGAGATTTGTGCGGTGCATATGTATCTGGTGCTTCCTTGTACCGATATTTATGTGATTAAATAAATAATAATTAAGTTCATTTGTAACAAAACCCTGAGGAAATTTTGAGGACTATTACTTGGTAATAAACCCACACGTCGAACCACGCAAGCACTTCTGAATAAACAATGACATCGAAATTATTTATTTTGGAATGAGTTTCTTGCGGGACGATAGAAATCAGAATTACTGTAAATATTATTTTGGATATCCATATTTTCCGATTAAAACAGATTTTTTGTTTCATTCATTTAAGCAAGCTTGATATAATAACATGAACGCATGAAGTTCATTTACCTTTAAGGGTATTTATTTAGTAAAATCCATGTACTTGGTCCCGGTTTACAATTTTTGCGTTAGGTGTAGTGATGCTACCCAACTGCTCGAGACCAAACTATGTAAAGCGAAATCCGATCTTTCAGTCTAATGGTTAAATCGAATGCTTTAGGCACTGGGTTACCACTTTACACCGAAACAAAGAACTGTGTCTTACACTGTACAGGACTGAACGTGTAAATAAACATCCCTTAAGTGATAAGTTGATCAGTTATCTTATTAGATCAACCTTTTAGTTAGACTACTAACCCCTTTTTTAAATGGAATACTCCATTTGTAATGAAAGCCCAGTTGATTACCGCAAGACAAAAGCACATGTTTATTGTCTAAACAAGTGTTCGGCATTCGTGCAAATCTGTGAGTCAATCACAGGAGCTATCTTCCTGTGACACCTGTTTCCTAACATAGGAAGTACAATCGTATCTCCATATCAGTGCATGGACAAAGTCAAACTCAAAGTGGAAAAAGTAGCGACAAAATAGTAAAAACACGGGAAAGTTAACGATACAACTTTACAAAATGTGTTGATAGAAAAACCCTAGGCTGCGTTTTTAATTGTAAGGTGTTCGCATTTAAAAGATCCGAGTGGATACAAAGGAGAAAATGAAGTATTGTGTCACTCAGGCTGATACATGGTATTTTTTAAACACTTAGAAATAATGTATGTGGAACATTAGAATACAGAGAGTTTAAAGATTAGTAGAGAAGACACTAGTTTGGTCAGTCGCAGTTAGTCGCTGTTCAACTTCACGGCTTTTACTAGCCGTATCTACTGGTCGAGCCTCACCAAAAACTTTTGAATTTCGTCCAGATAGTTCATTTAAATCTCGTGGTGCAGAGCGAGGAAGTAAATTAAGTTTTGGTCGCTCTCCTGGTACACCTGGTTTAAGGTTAGGCTCCAAAGGCAGTTGACTTTGACTTAGAGATGTTAACCTAGATGAACCGAAGGTGCTTGTACGACTGACGAAACCTCTCTTCCAAATTGATTCAACATCTTCACCATCATCTCTAGATGTACAAACAATAATACTCAAAATTAGTGAAGTATGCTCAAAATAGCGGACGTTTCTTCTTTAGATATATAAGTGGTAATCGATATGATGAGAAGGGAACGGCTAAATTGACTAGGGAGGAATTGTGATGAGAAAATATAAAACGAATAGCTATGAAAGTGCAGTTATCTCTGGAAATCTCTTGTCATAAAGATTTACTAATATATCACTTGCGATGTAGATATGGGATGTCGTTTTCTCTGCCCTTTAGAAACGCGTTAGAAATTCCAACCAACCTGTACCTTTTTCACATTGCTGCGGTAAGAATCATTATTTCGGTTTAATTAGGTGGTTATAAGAAAGTTATAACCCGAGGCAGGTGTGCACCAGCTCAAGTTGTCACACTATTTAGGGTCATAAACAATCCTAACCATGAAGTTACTTCCCGACATTGTTTAGATACAATGTTTATCGAAACAATTGTTTTGAGCCTACTTACAGCTAATTTAGCTTGGATTGTTTCCAACACTTTAAAACGTACTCACGGTCTCATATCGAAGTCCATAACCTTGTTGATCCTCGTCTCTCTAAAAGAGATATCTATCAAGCCAATTACAGAGACAGACAACCGATTGTATTGTCAATTACTACATTTTTATCCGGTTGTCTCTAATTTTCATGTGGAAAAGTCTTGATAATTAAATAGGTTGTCAGATTGTCCGAAATGTATGATACAAATGTGTCGCATTTTTTCAGATCAACTGTCTTCCCATTACACTTATAGAAGTTACAAAAAGAGACTAGCCGTTTTACATCGACTCATTGTGTGTTCAAGAAAAGATATCACTTAGGTTTATTTGCCTGGAGCTTAGTTCGCATAAACACCTTGTAGGTATAATAGCAAGGTTTTATGCTGATTATCTCGTCACCCAAGAAAGTCAATCTGACTTCACCTAATTCATCGATCATATCACGGTTTTCGTCAACAAAAATTTTTGGTAGGCAGTAAACGTTAAGTAAAGTAACTGGTCACAGCGACAAAATAAATAATTACATCTAAACTAAAAACAGTATTTCATTGACCATATTATCACATACCGGAGAGCAGCAGGTTTGTAGACACCTCGCTGGCGCTCAAAACCTATTTCACTACGGCGCATTCCAGAACAATAATTCTTCTCACGTACGAATCCACCTCGCTCAGACTATAACAGAAAGAAAACATGAAATAACGAGTCAGTTTTTTTGACAATGAAGCAACAGTCCTATTTTCGAATGTTTGGAAACTAATTAATAACGAGAAGACATTGAGTAGCATTCTGATAGTTTGTTTAGTACCACCTGAATATACAGGTTCACCCGATTTGATTGAAAAGCATTAGTAGGAGACTTAAGGTTATGAATAAAATGCTCACAAGGTACTTATCTGTCACGGTGAATATTTAATATAGTGTACAAGAAAGTTCAGTCAGTCGCAACGTAAAACCTGGTAAATATGTACATCGATCCAATTTGCCATACCTTATTGGCACAGCAAGATAAACTAGTGCAATAAAGACAAACAAACAGTGAAGAATCAAGAAGCCATCGCAAGTGATTTTGAGCCATACCATTCATGTCTCTGAAAAGAACCGGTGAGACTTTTAGGTGAAGCGGTCGATGCGCTCAACTACCTCACTCCCTATGATTAATTCAGGCGCCGCGAGAAATAATTCTCAGAGTGACATTTTGCATTTGGATGGGGAGAACCTCACGCCAAAGATGCTTGCGTTGTTGCTTCAGGTGGCAAAAAGACTAGTTTGTCAGCGTTTTCATAAAACGGAACTACATTATCTGGTAGAAGATCTATTCCCGGAAAGTCAGACGATGGAAGTGTTATTCCCAAAGCATGTCTATGACGAAATTAAATAAAAATGGGTAAGTTGGACAACCCTGACGAACACCACTTGCAGTAACTAATCCCGACGAAAGTTCTTCGCAAACGCCGACTCGGCCAATACAAAACTGTTCAAGTAGAGCTTCCGAAGGGTTAGTGTACTTTCTTGGTACGCCTTTCAATGACAGACACCACCACAAAACCTCACGATCAACGGGGTTGAACGTCGACTCAATGTCAAAGGACACGACTGTAGTCGGACATCGAAAGATATGTCTATGTACCACGACCAGATGAATATTTGGTCTATACATCTATTTCCAGGTCTGAAACCACCCTTGTTTTCTCGGACTTTCTCCTCATGAGCTCTGATTAGACTTCGAAGTACTATTGAGAATTATATTTCAGACACTATACCAGTCAAACTGATTCCTCTGAGATTGTCGCAAATCAGTCGGTCAGTTATAAATTAGGAGCAGGCAGATATACGCATTGGTCTGAGTAGCCACACCTCATTAGCACAATAAGACGAACACCGAATTCATAGACGTAGTTACTTCAATGGTAGCAATATATAAAAAATGATTGTGTATAGGGTATAGTGTAGGAGGAAAGAATTATTTGGTAGAAAGGGAGTGTATGCACCTACCCTATTGTGATCGATTCTGAGCCATGTCACCCAGAGTCACGCGGACCCCAACTCAGTAGTTTATATCTACCAACATGGCTCAGACTAGAAGTGACTTTATGGACTGATGCCACGTCTTGGTCTGGCCCCCCTTACTTTCTTCCGAACATACCCAACACTAGTCAGCATTGCGCGTCGTGGTAGTCGATGTTCAGGTATACGTAACACGTGGCCCAACCATCTCAGTCGCTGAAGATTTACAACTTCGTCAACTGATTTGCCGTCATTCCCTAATACCCTGCGTCTAACCTCACTATTACTTACCCCGTGATCCCAGCAGATGTGAGCAATGTTTCTAAGACATCTGTAACCAAATACTCGTAACTTTTGAGTATCTTCTATTCTTGATGGCCACGTTTCGCAACCGTAAAATAGAACAGAACGAACTACCGCACAGTATGCTCGTCCCTTAACTGATAGACAGATATCTCGCCTTCTCTATAGGTGGCGTAAGTTGGCAAAAGCCTACTCTATACAAGTCAAACTGATTTCTCCGTTGGCTCTACTACTAGTTCGTCATAAACTCGACATAAGCAAAAATGTAGTACTTGAATAAGATCACTGTTAAATTGTCTTACCTGCAGTTGCCTTAAGGTTAACAGTCGCTTACATCAAATTGAAGCTGTTAGGGCAAGATATGGCAGAGATTGCATAATGTCAAGTCTATCTTAGCGACCGATTTCCCATGAGATTCGTAAAACGATTTGAAAGAAATTCGGGAAATTAATATTACAGTTTACCTTACGGAAAATAAGAAATGTTACTGTCTAGAAACATGTAAAATTGAAACGAATAGTGTGACAATCTAGCGAGAACGCTACCAAATCTCCTTGAATTTGAAAAAATGTTGGTAACAAGTGTTGGGAACTCCAAGGCAGGAAATTTGAAAAGCCCAGTAGATTACGGTAAACTAGACTTACCTTCCAGTGAACGTTTTGCAGGACCTTAGCACAAAATACTTTACTTGCAACAACTAAACTTTAATTGAGTTGATGATTCGCACACAGTAGTACACCATCGATGTAAGATAACACTCCAACAGTACTATGTACTTATAATGTCGACAAAAATGCCAAGTCAGTTTCCAGTTGCAGTGTTGACTGAAAAACGTTTTTATTCTATGGAAGCTTTATGTAGTCTTAGATTAAAACAGAATTAGTGCTTCCAACTTGTGAATACATTTTACAAATCTTAGTGATCTACGTCTAAATAGGAACTTTAAGTTACAACTTACAGTCAAAAATGGTGAGTAATCTTATGACAGTCAAGTTTACAGACATAGCCGTCCGAAATAATGTATCATTTAACTTGGAACTCGTGAATGTAAATAAAGCCAGTACCAACTGTGTGAAGAAATCGTGATCAAAACTGAACAGTATAGAGCCATGAGAAATCCCACTGTAACAGTAACAAAGCTTACATTATTTGGAGCAGCAATGCGGACACTGACTTGTCGACCAGCCAGAGATGAATCAGAGCGCTCAAGAGCTTTTGCTAAGTCATCTCGACTTGCAAAGTCAACAAAACAGAAACCACGAGACCCACCATCCCCACTGACAATATTAATGTTTGTAACCTTGAGCGGGGAGAAAAAACTGGGAAGTTAGTACGACGTGAGATAAAGAAAAGTTACTCTGCGACGTTCTGTTCTGTAGCTGAATACGCTACATTGTAAACAAATGCCCTGAAAGGCTTCTCTACAGGTAACTTCGCCAGTTCGCTCTCAACTGAAGATGTTGATGTGAATGTTGGCAATTTTGCTCTAATTTTCTGAAGTTCTTCAGCCTTTTCAGACGATAAATTGAGCTCTGCTAGGTTGTCTGTTGGGTCCATTTCAGCAATCTAGATGGTATTTTAGGGCAAAAGCTCACATACTGTGTTGCTCGAATACACAATGTCAACATCCACGCTCTGGTTGAAACGATTTTTCTTCGATTTCTTGCCCATCTTTGTTAAACAAGAGGTCACATGTACCGCTCAAAGCGATCCGGAAAGCCCGCGTCAGGATACTGAGTGCTCCCTCAATTAACATTTCATTGAGGTATCCAAAAAAGTTTTTGTTAACTGTTACAACACTTTAGTTTAAATTTATAAAACTCATTCGTTACCTATGGACATACTGAATGAAAACAGTGGACTTCTGCTAATCCTGTCAGTCAGTTTCTGTTTCCGTTTGTAAAAGACAGGAGGCTTGATGGTCTGTGTTACTCCTGGCAATGATGGTGCCTTAGTTGATCCAACCTTCTTTTGAAAGAGTCGACAGATGGAGCCCCAACCATGTGTTAAAGTAATGAATTCCACCCGTTGATGATTCGATGGGAAAGTAGATAGTCAGCTGACAAGTAATTCGTTCTGGGCTTGTGAACTTCTTCCGAGTGTCCTTGTAAATTTTCCGTTTTGGGAGAAAAGGAAAATGAGGGCATTTCATGTGCAAATTTATCACTGGGCAGTTCGAAAACTGCAATCAAGTCGCCTCCAGTTCTTCGATACGACAACGGATTAGGTTTAACTTGGCCAATCTATCATCATACGGAAGCTACGATATTCCGCGAATCAGCTTGGTTGATGTTCTCTGAACCCTTTGCAAAAGCTCACTGCCTTTTTTAGGCAGGAGGTAGCAGCTTGTGTGAAATACTCAAGTTTAGGACGCACGATTACTGTGAACAAAGTCATAAACGTATTTAGCGTCGACATGACTACAGGGTTCTTAAACGGCAGTATGAAGAACTCTTTAAGTTGTAGATGGCTGTCGAGTCGCGATTGACTATGATCACCACTACAATAAGATTACGTGCCAGATATCGACTTGGATCCCTCGGTAAACCAAAAGCCAGTAGGCAGTTGACTGTTGCAATAAGATATATTTGTTGGCGATCTCCTGGTACCGAAATAATACTGAGACGTGCCAAAGACTACAGGCAAAACGGCGGAGAGTAAATGCGCTCGTGCAAGCAAGAAGGACCACGGAAGGAAAAGTGCTTTTGGTAAAGTTAAACAAACAAGTAAAGTAAAACAATCATTGGTACAATTGGTCATAATAATAAATCTTTCAATTATACCAATCGCGTTCTCGCCATAAAAGTAGGTCACTGCAAAGTCTGGGCGATCGACGACTACTAAGTCATCGTGTGTCTGGACAACAGGAAGCTCATTGTTACTCATCATGTTTGTGTCTGTACCTTGATGACCGATATGCATCACAATACACTTGGAAGTATTTATCGGCAACTGCCAGATTTGAGACAATTCAAACAATTTCTTCTGATCATTTTGGAGCTCCAACTTATCACCCTTGCTACTTACCGCTCTCCATATCTTAACCTCGTCAGCATATAGCAAGACCGATGATGATAGTAGACGAGGAAGGTCATTCACATACAAGAGGAATAACACTGGCTCCCAAATTGTACTCGGGGGGACTTCAATAAAGACAGTTTCCCAGCTAGGCAACTTTTAGTTCACCCGTACTCCTTGTTGGTGCCCAGCTAGGAAGTCTTTTATCAAAATTAATAGATTGACTCCAACCCTCACATTTTCTATCTTATATGGCAGCTGGCTGTACGGAACTTTTTCAAAAGTTTTGCTTATGTCAATTTAGGCTACTTCTATAAGTAACTTTTGGTCTTTGATATTGCACCAGCCTTTTGATCCACTAATTAGTTTGTGAGACAGGAATAACCCATTCAAAAACCATGTTGCTTTTCCGAAAAGACTCGGTTTTCATCGAGGTACTGAAACAGATCCTTTCGAATAATCTTTTCTAACGTCTTTACAACCACGCTAATTAGGCTAATGGGTCAGTAGTGCTCAGCTTTATGTTTTGTACTTGTTTTGAAGACAGGATTTACTATCGCCTTTACAGTTCCAGAAAAATATCCGTAGGAAAAATTAAATATATTACATTCTCTGGCCTTGTGAATGCCTAGTTAATGTGTGGCTTGATGAGACCGCCCTTCAGAGAGCAGCGAATTATCGATTGAAACAGTGACACACAAAACCGTACGAGCAGTCCAGAGTACTTATCGGTCCTGCGATCTGCCTAGCCCAGCCAGTTAAGTCCAAAACATCAATAACAGCCTCTGTGGTATGAATCATTATTCACAAACATACTGGGTTTATATACCAACCAAACAGACCACATCGTACCATAAAACAGAAACTAACATTTGTACAATACTTAATCAAATGTGGCTGTGAATAGTGGGAAATTAATCAGTAAACTGATGATAACTCAAGAATCGTGTAATAATAGTTCAAAGGTCAAAATAAAGCTAACGATAAGAGGAACACGAATGTGATTAGGTTAGTTACTCAATTATTTAATAGGAAATATACATATTACATTGGCTCACAAATAGTCCTCAAAAGCTACCATTCAAAATTCTCTTCGGGATACAACAAAATATTACAGCTGTCTTACTCGTTGTAACAATTTACAAGCAGTATTCATACCGTTTTATAATATACAAAGTTTATAAGCAACGTTCCTTTCCTACGCTGAATAAATTATAACAGAAAATATGGCACTTAATTTGTTTAACTTAACACAAAACGAACCAACTTTTTTAATTAGAGTGGGCCTAATAATCCAAACACTCTCTTAAGAGAATGAATTCTGTCTCTTTTGATAGTACAGTCGTCTTATCTTGAATTTCTATCCCCGTTTTCAGACCTTATTTTAGTGAACTCACTATTGCCGGGTTCAGCGATTGCCAATTATTGCACCTTGGCTTTATGGTGAAAATGTATGATGTTCACTTGATTCATCCCAAAAGAACTTGGGTGCCACTTTACTGAATATATTTCTGTTCATTTATTAATACTTAAAGTTTTATTTAGCAACCAATTTTCACAGTACAGTACAACAGTTCCAGCTAGAAAAATGTTTTATAGTATATTAGGTGGTGTCGAGTCTTAATGGACCATAATCACCACTACAATGAGATTACACGCCCAGAACGGACTTGGTCCCTTTGATAACTCGCAAACCAGAAGGCTGTAACTGGTCCAGATAGAGTATATTTATTGGCAATTTCGTGGTATCGAATGAATACCGAGACGTACCAAAAATTACAGGCAATTAGAGCAGAGCGTAAGAAAGTTCGAACCAACAAGATGAAGAGTGGAACGATAAGTGACTTTAAACAAGTACAGTAAAGCAATCGCTGGTACAATTGGTTATAATAATGATTGTTTCTATTATATCAATCGCGTTCTTGTCGGAAAGAAGCGGGTCATTACAGTATAGTGACGGAACCTCACTGCTGAAAAATTGTGCTTCTTCAACATACTTTCTTATTATTAGATAGGACAACAAATATCTGTGAATTACATTGTGATCTTGTGTCACTGAAGTATAAGGGTAACTTTGAAATAATCAAGAAAACACACTACAACACGTTAATGTATCGAGGGAACTGGTTACCTGAAATTCAGAATATCTTCTTAGATCGTTTTCTGCGTTTAGACTGAAATCATGTGCTACGAAAATGTTATCCGATGATGACATCAAACGCGCCTCAGCCTAAATGAAAAATAGGTTCTTGTAATGACATATACGTCATTTGGTCAGCTTGATTGAGCGTTTTTCAAATTCTCTTCTGAAGTCAAGTTAAGTAATGTCCACAAAACCCTCAATATTAATAAACTTATAAACTGAAGTTGGAATAGACAAACCTGTGTTTTAGTAAAGTATTTGATTGTTGTGACTGGCATATATAAGAGCTGTAGATATACCGAAATCCTTATATCAATGAAGATCAGTACCTTGAAGGTATGTCACATCGGCAGATTATAAAAATCAGAAATTTAGAAAAACAGACTTTATTTACACATATTCGTCGTCGCTATCTTACATGCGGAGACAAAAAGTGATTTTCACTACTAACGATTTCAAGAAGAGGAGAGGCCATTAGACGGAAAACAGTTAAAGAGGAAGTGACGATCTAAAACTGACGTAGAAAACAAAGCCAGAATGAAATTCAAAACCTTGAAGTACTGGACGTCCATTTAGTCATAGTATGGGATTGATGAACAATGCGTATGCACCATCCGAAATGTGCGATTCCAACCTAAAACCTTCGATCTCACACGCAAACACTCAACATCTAGTCCACCGAGTAGGCATCCGACGGTGTTAATGTTCAACATTAATCAATCCATAATCTCGTGTAACCCTCATCCATCGTATGAGATAGATAACTGTTACACGACCCCATAAATACGGGTATCTGTACTCAATCCCCAAAACTTCAGTCGACGAGACAGTTATTTCCAGCGGAATAGGTCTATAATGACATTAAAGAGCGGTGGAGATAGCGAACAGCCATTATGACACCACTTGAGGTTTCAAAATGAGATCATAATTTATCACAGGCTCCGACTTGACTGGTAGTGTTCGAGCAAGGTTCATGTACTTCTGAGGTACACCTTTCAATGATAGACACTGCCACAGAACCTCTCGGTCTGTAAAGTCAAATGCTGCTTGAAAGTCAAGGAAAACCACAGTTGTCGGACGCCTATAAGCATGTCTCTGTTCTAGAACCTGACGGATAGTGGATATGTGGTCGATGCAGCCACGACCAGGTCTGAAGCCAGCTATGTTTCTCCGGTGTTTGCAGTTGACAAGTCTTTGTTAAGCCACCGATAATTATTGAGGCCAGTATATAAGACGCTATATTAGTTGAACTTACCTCTTTATGATTGTCACAGGATGATTTAGACCCATTCTTATACATTGGGACAATCAGTGATTGCGACCAGTCAGATGGGATTTCTTCCAGTTTTCAGATGTTGGCTGCAATATTAGTCAACCCAGTTGCTAAAACTGGACGACCATTCTTAAGGTCTTTTGGAGTTAGTACATTTGTACCTGTGGCTACATATCATGACAGTAACATTGCATGCACACGTCGCCCTCAGCGGTTCTTAATGAACAGATAAAATAACTGAATGTGTTACATCTCTAACGTCTCATCCATTCACTAGAAATTTTTACGACGCTTGGAAGATAAGACAAGTGCGCTTCACTATACTATTTTTAGTTGGCTGACGATGCACCACTGTGTTTGATGTTCTTTGAAGTATTTAACCAGGTTTTAAGTGCTTAATGTACATAGCCGACCGTCTTCAAAATAAGCAGTTCCACAGATCAATCGGTTGAACTGAAAAGCATAGTTTGTCGGACCACGACAAAGTAACTGCATTTCTCAAATAAAAAAGCAGTTGTATTTCATTACGTTTATATGAACAGCTCACCTCTCGACGTGATCTATGACTGAAAATATTTCAACAGACTTTCACATGAAAAACACAATGCTTACAACTAATGCACATAAATCCATACAATTACTACATGGTCATTACTTGCTTACATCTGTTGGCCCTCGTGGATGAGCATAAGCCGCACACCAGCATTCTCCATCGAACTCTGTTCTGGACAATCATTTCTAGTTGTTTGGAGTCGCCATTCATTCTTTTAATGACTGCTTCCAACTCCCGACGTAGCGTGTTCTTAGGTCTTCCTCTTTTCCATTTCCCTTCAGGATTCCAAGTTAGCGCTTGCCTAATGATGCAGTTTGGTGATTTTCGTTGTGTGTGTCCTATCAACCTCAAACGTATCTTCCTAATTCCCTCTTCATATGGAAGCTGGTTTGTTCTCTCCCACACTAGGCTGTTGCTGATGGTATCCGGCCAACGGAAATTTAGTATTTTGAGTAGACAATTGTTCAGAAATACTAATGTATTTTTGATGATGGTTGTGATAGTTCTCTAGGTTTCAGTCACATACAATAGAACTGTCTTGACGTTCGTGCCGAAGATTCTCGCTTTGATTTTAGTTGACAGTTGTTTCGAGTACCATATGTTCTTCAACTATGGGAACGCGGCCCTTACTCGCCCTTATGTCTGCATCAGATCCTCCTTATTCATCGATGATGCTTCCCAGGTACGTGAAAGATTCCACGTCTTCCAGAGCTTCTCCACCAAGTGTGATTGTGTTGGTATTCTCCGTGTTGTATTTGAGGATCTTGCTTTTTCCCTGATGTATGTTGGGGCCTACCGATACAGAAGCTGCTGCTACACCAGTTGTCTTCATCTACATTTGTTGCTGTGTGTGGGATAGAAGAGCTAGGTCATATAGGAAGTCCAAATCATCTAGTTGCATCCAGGCTGTCTATTATATTCCGTACTTCTCCCCAGATGTGGAACTCTTCATTATCCGGTCGACCACCAGAAGAAAGAGGAAGGGGGAGAGTGAGCAGCCCTGTTTGACACCGCTCTTCACTTGGAACGCATCTGTCAGCTGTCCTCCATATGCGACTTTGCAGTGTAGTCGGTCCTAAGAATTCTGTATGATGTTGACAACCTTTTTAGGTACACCACAGTGTCAAAGAAGATTTTATAAGGTCCTCCTATCCACACTATCAAACGCCTTCTCATAGTGAAAGACGTTGATGTGTTTTGACGAATCCCGTTCAGTTGATTGTCGCGGCTTGATTTGTGCCCGACCAATACCTACTAAATCCAGCATGTCGGTCTCAAAGTTGCGCGTCTACTGAATCTTCCATTCGGTTTAACAATGCTCAGCTAAAAACGTTTCTTAGTATTGATAGTAGTTTGATGGTTTTGGAGTTCTAACACATGCTGCGACCTTCCTTTGGAATCTCAATGAGGTTAAAATGTTACCAAATTTAGAAAATTCTATCAGCAGTTCTATATACTGTTGTATGTTGCAAACATTTTTTATGTCATCGTTACAGGAAGTTTTTCTGTGTCATACAAAAGGATGTGTTAAACGCCTCAGAAACCTCATAAGTTGAGGTTTGTAACTAATTTTTGTGTATTATTCAATGAAGAACAGCTATTTTAGACAAATCGTTGTTTTGTGAAATTCGATTTTGTTTCTATCTCAATTAGGTCACTTGAACGCTTCGATAGACTTAACATTAATTAAATTATCCTCCTCGTGTTTTTCCGAATACTGTGAAAGGATCATCTATATATTAACGGTAAGATGTTTTTAAGTGGTCAGCTTTCCAGTTTTTCTGGAAAAAAGTATGCCAGGAGAGGTGCCTGTACCCTGTACAACTGTCTTTAGTACTCACTGTGCTATCGAAAAAAGACAATCAACGTGCATCTAAGAATTAACTGTTTTATTGCAGGTACGGGAATTAATTTTTCGATGCACTTATGCATTAGTTCACTGAAAACTAAATCCACCATTTCCAGTAGGGGAATGTTAGTGAAAAAAGAAGATAGATCTACTGATATCATAAAGCTAATTATGATCGAGAGAATCTTTATATTCTCAACAAACTCAAAGGAGACCTTAAACTGAAGCTTAACAATTCCTTTGTCTAATGGTTTAAAAATTCGCACTTGGCACTTCACTACAGTATGATAGGCTGAACTATTCATACCTAAAACGAGTTGAAGGGGCAAGCCACTTTTATGTATTTTCGGCAGACCATATACTCTTGTTGTTATCGTTCCTGCCGGTTTAAACGTTTCGAACACTTAGTCTGAAAGAACACCTTGATTTTTAACCTTTTAATGAGTCTAATAATTTTTTTCCAATCTTATCTGCATATCATTCTTCTTTACCAGTTTCTGAAATGTACTTCTATTATTTAAGTGGCCTTTCATTCCGTTTAAATAGTCTTTTTTATCCATAAGCAGTAAACCATAACCTTTGCCTGGCTTCGTGATTAACAATTTTTCATCAGTTTTAAGTCTACATAACGCCTCCTCATGTTTCTTCGTGAAAGTTCTTTCTAATTATGTCCATTATTTAGGTTCCTAAGGTAACAGTTCACTAGTACTGATTTAGATTTTCGGCATCAGTTTTGATGAAGTTACTAGCTCTACCGTTTGAACATGAAGGAAATGAACTATACAGTCATGCAATAAATGCTTTAACTATGAACTTGACATTTAAATATTTTCCATTTCACTTATGGTATTCACATACATCTCTTTTTACTGTTGATTCATCGGACTTTAGAAGTTGCAGTTTCATATCATTTCATTTCATGGAATTTGTTCATAAGCAAATCGTTAGTAGTGTGAAGTATAGCAACCTTACCCGATGTCCATATCCATAGCCTATCTTAATTTTCCCCGGCTGTTTAGTTAAGTAAATGAGAGGACCACTTGCGTAGTTATTGGTCATGTAAATTTTACTTATTACCTGCTTTAGACTTTACGTATGCTGGATGAATAATGTTTCACAAGTTATGTTTTTTGGTGGTCATTCGTTTGAATAACAATGCTCGTTATATTAGAAACTTCTAACCTCTGGCTACTGACAAACTAGAACAAAGTATTTACATAACTAAAGGTGTTTGTGAACTTATATTTGATCTTTCAAGTCTTTCCAAGAACAACGATCCCTCTTTTGAAGATGATTAGCTGAATAAATTGATATTCCTTTCTTAAATTTAGAAATCGACTAGAAAGCCTCCAACCGCTTAATAAAGAGTAACAAATTCTCGATTTGGCTGTAATTTACTTGCTGTTGATAAACATTAGATCCTTGTTGTCAAATGATTTCAGAGTCATTTACGATGAGTGTAAAAGAATCAAATTACTGCTGATTTTTGTAATGTAGTTCACTTCATGCATTTAAAACGACTGATGTTTAAAGTCAGGTTAAAACTTGATTTTAAATAAGGTGTTCCAGTTGAGCGGAGTATAGATTTGTGTCTTTTGCATGTAACCAAACATTGTCATCATTTTACTCAATAAAGGTTTTTATCTCATCTGATGCCTAGCTAATTTTATCTAAAACTTCGAATTTTATTTGAATAATCATCGCCACACCATATCATCGTAAGTACAAAATTATCATCAACTATAGTACTTCCACTTTTTTATGATGTCTAATTGACTTTCAATCAAAAATGTTAATCAGTAGATATAGATTGCTTTCATAAAAACCCACTGTTGAATCAAATTTGTTCATATACTCCACCCTAAACTGAAACTCACATTCTCCACCTACAAACGAGCAATACTTTCAAATTTATGAAGTTCTAATGGATTATCTGGTTTAGGATCTTTATTTTGCCCATCAAATAGACTCTTGTATGTTCATACACTTTTCAAACTCGCCAATGCATTTATAAAAATAATATTCGATAATAATGTATTGAAATAACCTACCCCATGTAATTTTGCAATTTTGAAACATACTATTGGACGAATTAAGCTTGACACATAATTCCAATTACTGATAAATTGCGTTGTTCTTTGAATGATCTGTAATTTCATTTCAACCAGATATCATTTTTTTCAAGTTTCTATACATAAAATATCAGGACATTGTGATAAGGAAATGACACTAAGTGATGAAAATAACGGTGGACGCAAAACAGTTGATATTTGTGATTTAGTACTTGACTATGTAACACAGTTTCCATTTGCTAAAGATAAATGAAGCTCGTCAATTTGCGAATTCAAGAAATCTTTGTTAAAGCCTTTTCATTTGATTTATTATTGATGTACTACGACCAAAACGAATCGTTAACTATAATTTGTATTTTGAACTATTTTTCAAATATTCAACACTGATTGGTTCGCCAATGCATTTATAAAAATAATATTCGATAATAATGTATTGAAATAACCTACCCCATGTAATTTTGCAATTTTGAAACATACTATTGGACGAATTAAGCTTGACACATAATTCCAATTACTGATAAATTGCGTTGTTCTTTGAATGATCTGTAATTTCATTTCAACCAGATATCATTTTTTTCAAGTTTCTATACATAAAATATCAGGACATTGTGATAAGGAAATGACACTAAGTGATGAAAATAACGGTGGACGCAAAACAGTTGATATTTGTGATTTAGTACTTGACTATGTAACACAGTTTCCATTTGCTAAAGATGTAAAATCACGTATTAATTTAGATGATATTCACTCATCTGATATTGACTTTACACGTTTACATATTACTCATAAAAAAACAAAATACCTCTTACCAAATATTGTCAATAGTGATGCCAAACAAAGTATTGCAGCGCCACCAACACCTTTATCGCCAACTCTCAAGAAAAATCTTAAAAGTCATGTTCTATTTTCATCTATATTTACAAACAAAACAAGTGAAACACAGACAAATCATTTAAGAACTGAACGTCGAACAAGTTCATCTTGTCGACTGAGTTTACAAAAGGTTGTTACAAAGGGTGGAAGTATAAATTTGCAAATAGGGCCCCCAAGTATGTCTGTGCAAGCTAACGGGGGTTTTCGACGTGAATTAACAATGTCTAAGAATATGGAAGAAGTATTTGAAGAGGAATTAATCTGGACCTTAGATACAGAGGTGAGTATAATGGTCGATATGTTAGTATATTTAACAACTTATCTCATTTTAAAGTAAAAAAGCGTGATTTTTAATAAAACTTTCAGTAAGGCCAAATTATAAAAATCCTTGAGGAAAATTGAATAATGTATCCAGACACTATACACTGTGCTCAGTCGCTGAAGACACAGTGAATCAGATGATAGATTATCTTGCAGTAGTAACTAGAATATATTCTGTGATTGCGTCAACATCTACACTTACTCATTTACTTAATATATGTCACATTTCAGATATGAGATGATTGGTATTTGATCTTAAACATACATAAATCGATATTATTATGGTAAGTAATTACTCGGGTATTATCACTAAGTTAACAAACAATTAAATGGGTTGATAATGAATATATGCTAATTCCCATAGTAGTTCATTTCAGTAATACAGAACTAATGCCATTATAATAATCACTTTACACTCTACAAAAGAATATCATGGATATTTTCTTTCATTTTCAAGTTATGAAATATCTGTTTTAAATACTAGAATGTGCTAAATTTTGTGAATTTTCAAAACAGGTTGCTGCTAAATTTCCTTTAAACAAATAACCTACATGTTTTTTTGTTTACTTAAAAACAAGCAATATATTGGATGAGTTCATGTCATATAATAAATATACAAGCTTCACTAAGTAGAAGCGGAATTTTTGCACAATAATATTGATTATTTTTCTGTTAAGTGATACAGTTTTTGAAAAAACTTAGGCAGATTAAAATTACTATTGAATTTATTGCTTCCCCATGGGTTTCCGTAGACTCAAATTATTTTTTCATCATGAGCTAAAGTCACTGGATGAACTATTGAAACCTAAAGAATACTAAGCAACGGTCTCATTCGCGTTTGAGACTTCACAACACTGCTCACTGGCAATCTCATTAAAGACTGGACAAAGCACCTTGCTTTCCAGTGATTATGATACTTGAGACAAATCTAATGGTCCAGATTCCCAAACTCAGTCAATCTGCAATATGTTGTAATCTTTATCCAATTTTATTTGTCAGTTGTCGTCTCAGTAAGATCACAGTTTCACACCAAAACTTTTATAAATCCATCTTGGATTTAGTTTGTTGCTTCTTGTAGTTTACGGTCCTCTAACTTAGATTACTTTGTGATGGAAATCTTCTCAGCGGTATATGTATACATATTTTTAACATGAATATCTAGCGTATGCCTAAGGCAAGTCATTCAATTGAACATAAAGTTTTACTTTAGAAATATGTGAAATAAAAAATCACATTATAAAACATTTTCTCAACACGTGTTAATACATGTTAGTGAAAGTAATTAAAGTCAACTGAAACAGTCACTGTTCCACCAAATATCATTTCTTATAAATTAAAAACTAAAACAAATAAGTATGGGGATTTGTGGAGATTGTAGTATTTTAATAGTTGAATTCAAGAGTTGATCTAAACTAGACCAATGTAACTCATCAATAATTAACAATCAGTCTCAATGTAGTCCAGAATGTGATTATTTTTATTTCAAGGCCTGCCAATTGGGTGAAAATCACTACAATTAATCAAGCAGACTATGTCGTGTAATATATTAGATGAGCCCATATCCTAGTAGAGACTTAAAAATTTGATCCTCAAAATCGGTAACGAAAGACTGAGAATCCTTATAATGAGATAGTTTCTAGCTATTTTTTTGAATTTTCCTACACATATTTTGTATATGAAATTACATTTCTATACTTCTATCTGTTGTTTTAAGATAAAAAAGAACTAGTTTGACCAGATATGATAATGTATTTCTGGTTTTTCATTATTCCAGTCAATGGACAACCATTTTACCTCTAGTTCATTTTGAAAAGCGTAGGAACAGAATGATCCGAGAAAACTCAACTTATCATTTAGCAGCTGTCTATAATCTGCCAGTATCTAATTTTAAAACAAGATTTCAACATACTTTAATTCACTGAAAAACTAGCCTGTAGTTCGCTTAAAGATTTGTATAGTGTAACAAAGTATTGTAGAAATTTAAGTATGATTGAACATAACGGATAAGATTTTATTTCTCTTAATACTCATAGACAGTTATGCTGCCAAAAAGATATTTTGTTATTTGAACGCAAACACTATACAAGTCAGTGTATAAGAATTCGAAGCAACAAAAGTGAATTATGATTTTAGGGTTAGTCATTTGGTCATCTTGAAATTGTTAACAAAGAGAAAGTAGTAGAAAATTTAGCTTCTTTTACAATGTTCCAAAGTAGTAACTAATCGACACCACATTCATTAGTTGGCTTTTGAGTTAGTTCAATTTTTATAAGGTTTACGAAAGCTTTAGCAACCGAATATTGGAAACCAGACTTGTACCTGAAAATGAACAGTCATCATTCTTTCACTGCCTATTTATTTTAGGGTATGCCGCTTATTTAATCATCGTCATCTTTCGATTAAAATTAGGCACAAATAAGTATACGCAGATGTCGCGTCTACTTTACTTAGTACCCCTCACTTGCGTTTCATGGTCAATCATACTGCTTGTCAATCTAGTCTTTAAAGAAACAAGTGAAATGATAAGGTTCAAAGTGAAATGATTGACAATTTGAATTTTAACCTTGATAATTTTGCTTATTTAAATAAACTTTTTAAAGCTCAACTTTACTGGGAATATTAATCTCCATGGTTCCTAACGAGTTAGAACTGAAAAAGTTCACAAACGTCACACTAACCCAATCATCTATGATCAATTTAACCTTGGTAGTATCACTGAGAGTAAATCCTGATGAAATATTAGAGCTGGTGAAATTTCTGTTCACATTCCAGTGTAATAAACAATGAAACTTAAACCGGTATTTATTAGTATGGTTAGAGCATTTTGTGTCTAATTGTAGACTGAAATGTTATGGTTCGTCCACCGTTTTCATTAGAGACAATGGATGTATGAAATTCGCTCACATTATGGTTAGGTGTGATCATCAACAATAATACCATTTGTTTTTCTCCCCCTTAAACAAACTCACTGTACTAAAATATAGAGCATATAAACGAATCTATACTCAGTTAATATTCGAACAAACCTATTTGACAATATGCATACTATATTTTAACTGGACTCAGTCGGAAAAGCTGGGACGTCAACACACCGGCTGTCAATCTACTAATCTCGATTTCAGTGGCTGACAACACTATCCTCAACCAACTGGTATTATTGTGTCAACTTTATTAATTATTACATCAAACATCCATTTCCTGTCAAAATAAAAAAATAGAACGTGGTAAATACTGTGAAGTTTAAAGTAAAGAAAGCCAAACATCCGGTTAATGTAATCATAATCATTATATCTGGATGACCTAGAAACTATGACTAAAATAAGCTAAAATATTTACTGCAAAACAGTTTACAATAATTTCATCTGTCGTAAGTGTTCAATTACTCTAAGCTGAGATACGGAGCAGATATTTACAAGTACATAAAACTCATTGGCTACTTATTATTATAACTATCGAAATGGATTTTACAATAATCTCAGTACTGAAACTCTAAATGCAAACATCTATGCATTGTAGTGTCATTAAATTAATGATGACAAATGATCGATTCTGTGCATACAGCCTGGTAATGAAGCTAGATAATAAATAAATTTTCTAGCTCACTTCTACAATTAAGTGACTTGACCTTTGAAATTAAACAAATATTGAAATATTTGGATAATTTAACAAATTCCAAGTTAACAGTGAAATCCAATTGATTATGAAAGTTTAATATTACTCAATGAAAATGAATTTTTAAAGACATTTATACATAAGAGTTCAATTATATTAATTTAATTGCTTTTAAGAGGTTTCAGTACTCATTTTTAGAACAATTCAGTAATCAGAGATGATTTCAACTAGGAGAAATAAAAAACATTAATGTGTTAACATATTCACTTATTTAGTTGCTATATATTAGTAAGAACAGATCGATCTACGTTCATGAAGTTACACTCCATGTAGAACTTTAAGCGGTCAAGTATTCAGTATATTTATTTAAACAGTTTCTTGATATGCAACTGAATGATATTGTTTCTGAAAATACATGATATGTAGTAAGCAAAAACTGGCCGATGAGAAAGTGGATTAGCAACACGCCTACTATAATCATACCTGACTTTTGTTAACTTTTGCTGCATTTAGTACATGAAGAATGAACCTTGACCAATCAAAGGGCGAATATATTGCCTAACAGTTTGCTCAGTTATACTTTATGGTTAAGAAACATTATCTTTGAACGTTGAGGACATGGGTATGTGTGGAGTATTAAAAGCACTCATTGCATATTTTACGACCACAGAGTGAGTAATTCTAAGCACGGTTTGGGGCACTCTATAAAATAAGGTCACTAGGTAATAAATATATTACTTATACTAACCACTAACTAATCCCTATGCTGGAGGTTCACTAGCTTACGAAAGAGTTGTAAGAAAATAGGGACAGATGGACATAGCACCAGTCCATCATGTCGCTAACCTCTGAAATGAACCTTGTTGGTGAATATGGACTAAGCGATTGAGGTCATTTATAGTGGGAGACTTTAGGTGTTGACTCAAAATATATCGCACAGGAGTAAACATATTTATTTTTTATCTTCCACGAAATCTTGAAAATCTTTCTTCTTTCAAACTGTTCATTCTCTAGCTCTGTTTGTCGTTCCCAATTTATGTTTTATATTTTCACTCTTCACTATCATGGATAGTACTGTTCTAACTTGTTAGCTTTTTACTTGTTGTGTTGATTTAAAGGGTTACAACCTAAATTGATGCGTATTTACTTCACATTCCAAATCATTCATAATTGACTGTGTGCAATTTTCGGATTTAGGAGATATAAACGAAGCACTAGAATTCCAGACTGATGTCAAGTAAAGTATTTCGCTGAGGGGAAGGTTAAAGGTAGATGATATTTAAAAGATAGTACTGACTCATGATCGGTCTCGTTAATCATACTAGTTAGGAATCCCCATAACTAAATTCTTACTTTTTTATGTAAATATCTGTTTTTCTAAACAGTTAATCAATCAACTAAGCTTATTATCAAGAAGAAAAGCATGACTGTAACAGAGATTTAAACAAATAAGTTAATTTACAGGTTCAATGTTTCTCAAACCTATGGCTTATCATTAGATAACTTAAAATTTTGTCTAAGTGACAATTAGTAAGAACTATTATCACTCATGCTTTTATGCTTATATAAGTCCACATCATCTAATAGCTACATGTAATTTTTAATATCTTTGATTAATCTTAAGTAATATTGTAATACTTTCAAAATACTACATCTGTATCCATTTAAAATCACGTGCGACTGCTTATGCAATTGGTTCGAATATTATCACCATGTATTAACGACATAGCAATGATGGTATTGGTCAGTTATAAAGCTTTCTTGGGAAAAATTGTTTTGTAAGGTTTTATTCTTATGAAGTATTTGTTTCCAAAAGTTTTTATCCGAATAATTACTGTGAAATCAGGGTGATACTACTGCCTGAAGCGTATTAAGTGTTTGAAGACAATCTGTAAGAAGCACTAGACCTAGGTTCTGTGCTAGTTGGCCAGAAACGCTCAGTGAACTAATGTTACTCGTGGAATTCAAGAAACCTTTCATTGTCTCATAGTGTGGGATGTCACCATCGGGCTATTAGGTCCATAAATGACCTTATGTAGGGCCCGATTGTTTAAATACTAATTGACTACGATGTACTAACTAATATGATGTTTTGTGGCCTTTAAACCTTACCCTAGCGACTAATACAATTGGTCGATAAAGTCTATTACATTACAGTAAACAACTAATATGTATCAAATCAATCTGAAGATAGTTTACTCTACTTATAGCCACCACTTAGAGGACCTCTGAAGATAAGGAAGCATAAAATAGCTGTTTCATTCTGATTTGACGCATGTAGGAAATGTTTGCACTATGCTTCATATAAGCTAAACCTTTCAGCTAACAAATCCCATCACTAGTGGGACACCATTATTTCAGTGAATAAGAATAAGATGATCGAGATTTTCAAATACTTACCAGTGAGTTGCTTCCCGAAGTCACGGTTTTAGCCCATGACTTTTGAGATCAACTAAATTACAAGAAACGTGATGTCTAATAATCTCAGTCAATGATCAAAATCCATTCCATATCGTCCATCAATTATAGTTAGAAATTATAACCATACGATTCTGATTGGTTTATCTGACTTAAGTTCGCAGAATATTAAATATCGCAGGGCTTTAAAACTAACAATATCATTCATTAGTAGTTATTTTATAATTAATAAAATCGTAGATTTACCAATATTTCAACAGACTTTCACATGAAAAACACAATGCTTACAACTAATGCACATAAATCCATACAATTACTACATGGTCATTACTTGCTTACATCTGTTGGCCCTCGTGGATGAGCATAAGCCGCACACCAGCATTCTCCATCGAACTCTGTTCTGGACAATCATTTCTAGTTGTTTGGAGTCGCCATTCATTCTTTTAATGACTGCTTCCAACTCCCGACGTAGCGTGTTCTTAGGTCTTCCTCTTTTCCATTTCCCTTCAGGATTCCAAGTTAGCGCTTGCCTAATGATGCAGTTTGGTGATTTTCGTTGTGTGTGTCCTATCAACCTCAAACGTATCTTCCTAATTCCCTCTTCATATGGAAGCTGGTTTGTTCTCTCCCACACTAGGCTGTTGCTGATGGTATCCGGCCAACGGAAATTTAGTATTTTGAGTAGACAATTGTTCAGAAATACTAATGTATTTTTGATGATGGTTGTGATAGTTCTCTAGGTTTCAGTCACATACAATAGAACTGTCTTGACGTTCGTGCCGAAGATTCTCGCTTTGATTTTAGTTGACAGTTGTTTCGAGTACCATATGTTCTTCAACTATGGGAACGCGGCCCTTACTCGCCCTTATGTCTGCATCAGATCCTCCTTATTCATCGATGATGCTTCCCAGGTACGTGAAAGATTCCACGTCTTCCAGAGCTTCTCCACCAAGTGTGATTGTGTTGGTATTCTCCGTGTTGTATTTGAGGATCTTGCTTTTTCCCTGATGTATGTTGGGGCCTACCGATACAGAAGCTGCTGCTACACCAGTTGTCTTCATCTACATTTGTTGCTGTGTGTGGGATAGAAGAGCTAGGTCATATAGGAAGTCCAAATCATCTAGTTGCATCCAGGCTGTCTATTATATTCCGTACTTCTCCCCAGATGTGGAACTCTTCATTATCCGGTCGACCACCAGAAGAAAGAGGAAGGGGGAGAGTGAGCAGCCCTGTTTGACACCGCTCTTCACTTGGAACGCATCTGTCAGCTGTCCTCCATATGCGACTTTGCAGTGTAGTCGGTCCTAAGAATTCTGTATGATGTTGACAACCTTTTTAGGTACACCACAGTGTCAAAGAAGATTTTATAAGGTCCTCCTATCCACACCATCAAACGCCTTCTCATAGTGAAAGACGTTGATGTGTTTTGACGAATCCCGTTCAGTTGATTGTCGCGGCTTGATTTGTGCCCGACCAATACCTACTAAATCCAGCATGTCGGTCTCAAAGTTGCGCGTCTACTGAATCTTCCATTCGGTTTAACAATGCTCAGCTAAAAACGTTTCTTAGTATTGATAGTAGTTTGATGGTTTTGGAGTTCTAACACATGCTGCGACCTTCCTTTGGAATCTCAATGAGGTTTCCTTCTTTTCAGTCAGTCAGTTGCATTTGTTCTTCCTCCCAAATCTTCGTGAATGGAACGTGAAGCATTTTTTTATTTGCGCCTATGTTCGATTTCAGTGATTCAGCTGGTATGTTGTCAGGTCCTTCCGCTTTCCCACTCTTGATCTTTCTGACGGTTATGGTAATTTCGTAGATTGTTTTTGGTAGAGTGACAGCTATAGGGAGGTCCGTATGTGCCGCTTTGGTGTTCCGTGGGTTCAGAGAGGCTCGTCCACCCAGGATTTCGTTACACTGTCCTACCCGTCTCTTCTGCTGTTCTTGAAATTCAGTTATTGTTTTGCCTGGTTTGTTCTTGACTGATCGCTCTAGTTTAATATTGCCCCCTGTAATTTTTCGTGTTTAGGTCTCTCATCAGGTGTTTTCTTGGAAATCTCTATACGACGGACTACAGCCCTGCACGAAACTGACCTGCATATTTTCCGCTGCTAACATTGGTAGGTGTGTTATACTGAATGGCACTGATTGTAATCCCGTTCTTCTTTGTTTGGATCAGTAGAACTATTGATTGATTGAATTAGATAAATTTTTTGACGAAACACAATGTTAAACCAATTTAAATCAATAAATTATGGAGTTTTTTTTACAACATTATAAAATAAATCAGCTGTCGGAAATCATCTGTATTTTAACTGGTGTGTTGTTTAGAATTTTATTGATTTCTTTATTTTGATGTAGTCAAACCAAAAATTTTCCATATGTTTATAGGGTTAAGTACCAATAATTAGTTAGTGTCATTTTTTTTAAGTATCTTTCAAGTGACCACCATTTTTAAGTTTGTTTAACTTATGCATGATGGTTAATATGATCTGTTGTTGATTTTATTCTTCTGTTATCGCTGGAACGATTGTCAAAACGAATATGACATTTAGTTTTCAGTTTAGTTCGATTCACGGTCTCAATATATAGTAGATTTAATAGCAATTGGGAAATTTCCATGCTGTGAATTAGAACAATAATATATATTAGTGAGCAATATTACTTTCAATTAAATATTCTAATATACAGTGACACATAAGTGTATATGAAATTATTCAACTAATCAAAATAGTTCATGAGTCAGTGTAAAGAGTGGAATATATTACATAAATTAACACTTAATAAAATGTAGAAATTGATAGTTTGATGACAGGTTTATTAGTTGTGATAAGAATAATAAATAAACGGAATATATTCATTGAGATATAAAATAAAAAGGATTGGTTCATCGAAGAGTTCTCTTTTCTGAGCATTCTTTTGTGAGATACTTACACTCTTGTATTTATCGTATCGCCTTAGAGTTCACATCTTTCAGTGGTATAATATATATCAGTTTATTGTGCCTCGTGTCTTCCAGTATACTTGCAAGCTGATATGTCTCTGCTGGTATGAAAAAAACTAAGGATTGAATAGCTTGATAGTAACAATATATAACTGAGATACTCAGTGTCGTGAGTTTGAATTTTTTCCTCTGTAATTGTTTGATGTCAATTTTGCAGTTGTACAACATTGAGGTAAGTACCAGTAAACTTGGAATCAATATCGTACAATGCCTTCATCAAAAGGTGATTATATTCGATAAAAGGATCAAAACGTATATTTGTTTCTACTTAGAATTTATCAAAAGAATAAGTATTTCAGCATAAATTATTCTCTGTATTTAATCTAATAATCTATTCACTGATCATTTGATTTATTATAATCATTGAAAACTATCTTTTAAAATGGAGATTACGGGGTAGAAATATTATGAATACAAGATAAATGATTTATAGTAGTCCTATAGTACTAAGATAATAATAGAGCTGGCCAAATAATATTACCTGAACGACAAAACGTCATCCGTTAAAATTTGTCACTAAACGAAAGTCATAATGAAAGTGGAAAAATATAAAGTATGACTGAACATTCATTCTGGTACATCAGCTGAATAAAAACTGACTGTTAACTATTTATATACCGAAGTGTTTATTGAACTACGGATACATATATGTTTATTTATACGAATATTCGTCAATATTAGAACGAATAGCTTGACAAAAATTGGCTGCCGAGTATAGAGAAGTCATCATATGTGAAAATTATATTTGAAATAATCTCACTGAAATTTAAATAATTCCAGCGTTTCGTCAAGCTAACTTGTCTGGACTTGTTCAGGGTAATAATCGAAATCTTGTAATGAAAGGTTTCATGTTAGGCATGCTGAGTTTTATTTTAGACGGTAAGGAAAGTGAGATAGTATTTTACACTTTTTAAGGGATCTGTCAGTACCACCATACTAAAATCTAAAGGAGCTTTTATTTTGTTATAACATTTTGCAGCCAATGAGTCACATTCTATTCAAGTTAAGCCTGTAATTGTTAAATGAAATGTATGTAAGTAATTTCTGTTATAGTTACCCTTTTGAAAGCAGTAGAAATAATTATATACAGAGAGTTCAAAGGTCATTCGAAATTCACTGTCATTGTGAACAAATTAAGTTTTATCCGTAAGATTATTGTTTGCATAAAATATCTCGTATTTACGAACCAAATAAAAAACATGATAATTCTATTGTCTGAAAAAAATATGTAATTATAATTATGACTGATAGAAACATGATAATCTGAAATCAAATAGAAAATTATTGATTGATGAGTTGTGCAACTTTAGAAATAAATCGACCTCATTCAGAAAAACTTTAATATCAAACTGTTCATCCGTATTATTGACTGGCGTTCATACCTGATAGAGTGCTGTGGTCTAAATTGTTAAGTTCTAATATTTTTAACTTTAAAGATGTCACAAGCATTCAGAATTTGACGGCGGCTTAACCACTATCACCTTTTATAATCGAAATATGCCTACTCAGTCTAATCAGAAGTCAGGAGCGAAGAGATGGATAGTGGCTAGCCATGGAATCCGATTTGACACGCGTTTCGTCTTATCTGGGACTCGTCAGCTGGATGTGCCTGCATCTCAGAGTTGATGTTCATTCTGTGACTCGAATCCAGTACCTTTCGCTTGAAACGCCATCGATTCGGCCACTGAGTCCATTATACAAGCAAATGGCAATCAGGACTCAGTAGACGAATCGATGGCGTTTCAAGCGAAAGGTACTGGATTCGAGTCACAGAATGAACATCAACTCTGAGATGCAGGCACATCCAGCTGACGAGTCCCAGATAAGACGAAACGCGTGTCAAATCGGATTCCACTGCTAGCCACTATCCATCTTTGCTCACCATGCTTGTGAATTTAGACTATATCGAGGCAATACGCACAGTATACACATATGCCAAATAAAGACTGACCAGTTGCATTCCTAAAACATCAATGGGAAGATTCAAACAAACAATACTAAGTGAATTTAAAAGCAAAGAGGTTCGAAAATTTATTTGATGGGCTACCGATATATCGAGAAGTGATCAATCTAAGCTGGCTAACGGTTGTAGATGTTAAGCACGACGTATCCACTCGTGATCTGGTGCAGATGTGTGATCGAGCGCCTTCAGTTAGTTGAGTCCATGAAAACTAATGCGGTCAGCATCAAATATCGAAGGCTTACAGAGCTATTGATTTGGGAGAGTTATTTACCGCTACAACTTTGTAAGAAAATGAACACATACCAAAACTCAGATAAATGATTATATTGATGTTATAATTGTCACATATTTAAACCAATTCATTGTTTATTAGGAAGATTTACAGTTCCTTTTACAAACGAACTTTTGGTCTACGCTCAATCATAACCAACGTAGGCCTATACTCTTCGAAGTTCACACATTCTATTGAGAAAAAAACAATTACCCTCATATACTTGTTAAGAACACTTATATATAAAAATAAAAGGTCAACTAGACGGGTAATAAGGTTAAGAAATAGACAAGGATAATAATGATAAAATAATGTGAAAACAACTTGACACCTAATCACTCTGGATAATAAGCATTTATTACCAGGGTAGGTTTAAGGAGAGGACAAACTGTTTTTGAATAATTATTAGAAGGGGTTTTTTGTTTTTGTTTTTGTTTTTGAATACACAAAGGGGGTTTGAATTTTCGTATGTCTAAGGCTTCAATAAACCTCAGTATACGCCCTTTTACACTTTTAAACAACACAACAAAAGCTGAGTTAAGATCAATCTTATGATTGTCAAACTATTCGTTCTAATCTTGACGAATATTCGTATAATCTTATGACCTGTTTCGATTATGTGTTTAGCAACAGAGGATGATGGATGTTTATCCTCTACTCTTATTGGGTCCTTCGACTGTATTTGTTTTTGCAACCATTTTGGTACATGTTCACCCACCCTAATTTTCAGATCACGATTGCTCCTCCCTATGTATGTGTGACCACACACACATTTAAATTGGTAAACGCAGTGGGATGTGACACAATCGTTTTCATGTCGTCTAGGTTTTGAATGAAGCATGGACCTCGTTCTTTCTTTGATTATGACCTTTGCTGCACAGTATGTTTTGTCGATGACTGATTTAAGCCTTTGTTTCAGTAAAAGGCTATTTGAATCACCTCTAAATGGTAAGGTGATGTAAACAGGCTTTTTCTCTACCAAGGCTACAGCAAGTCTCGCTGTGCCCATAACTTTCCATCTATTGAAAACATGTCACTTTATAAGAGATATGTGGACGATATCTTAGTAATTGGCGAAAGAATGGAAGACATAAACTGCCTATTGAATAAATTTAACACTATCCAAAACCATATCAGTCTTTCATGCGAAGAGGAGAAGAACGACCAACTCCCCTTCCTAAATGTACTTCTAAGCAGACGAGAAGATGGCTCAATAAAACGATCCATTTTTTGAAAACCAACGTGGACGGGTCAATATCTTAGTTACTATAGTTATTGCCCTGTGCAATACAAACGTGGTTTGGTAAAGTGCCTTTTTAACAGGCTTCGTCGTATTTGCACAGACGATGCTATTGATGACGATGTTAAGTTGTTAACCATGACATTAATCGGGAATGGTCATCCACCTAAATTTATCAATAGATGGAAAGTTATGGGCACAGCGAGACTTGCTGTAGCCTTGGTAGAGAAAAAGCCTGTTTACATCACCTTACCATTTAGAGGTGATTCAAATAGCCTTTTACTGAAACAAAGGCTTAAATCAGTCATCGACAAAACATATTGTGCAGCAAAGGTCATAATCAAAGAAAGAACGAGGTCCATGCTTCATTCAAAACCTAGACGACATGAAAACGATTGTGTCACATCCCACTGCGTTTACCAATTTAAATGTGTGTGTGGTCACACATACATAGGGAGGAGCAATCGTGATCTGAAAATTAGGGTGGGTGAACATGTACCAAAATGGTTGCAAAAACAAATACAGTCGAAGGACCCAATAAGAGTAGAGGATAAACATCCATCATCCTCTGTTGCTAAACACATAATCGAAACAGGTCATAAGATTATACGAATATTCGTCAAGATTAGAACGAATAGTTTGACAATCATAAGATTGATCTTAACTCAGCTTTTGTTGTGTTGTTTAAAAGTGTAAAAGGGCGTATACTGAGGTTTATTGAAGCCTTAGACATACGAAAATTCAAACCCCCTTTGTGTATTCAAAAACAAAAACAAAAACAAAAAACCCCTTCTAATAATTATTCAAAAACAGTTTGTCCTCTCCTTAAACCTACCCTGGTAATAAATGCTTATTATCCAGAGTGATTAGGTGTCAAGTTGTTTTCACATTATTTTATCATTATTATCCTTGTCTATTTCTTAACCTTATTA